TCTTCTAGAGTGCAAATCACCAAGCTGCCCTCTTGCTTAAAGAGCCTTACTGGCTCTCTGTCACCTTTGGATGGGAGACGTGGAATTTTTCTTGTGAAAACTGTCTACAGAAATTGGTACAGATTCCAGGTGAAGAACCCATGGGCCATGAGAGACCATCTGAACTCTGTGTTATAAACGTACAGAGGATCTCATCTGCCGCCTCTGCTGCTATCATCGGCACCCACTCCTGCCGTCACTTCAGCCTCGTACAACCACCCTGAGCTACAGAGAGGTTCAGAGCATGGCCTCTGCCTGGCCTCAGGCTCTGGCTCTGCACTTAGGCTTCTAGGAACATGTTATTTAACCTCTGCATATCTTAGCTTGCTCCTTTCTAATATGGGAATAATAGTAGTAGCTATCTCATAAGAGATTTTGAGGCTTAAATGAGTGAATACATATAAATTACTTAAGAGTCATAGGTGGCGTGTAATACACACTGAATAAGCTTTAGCTATTTTTATTAATGCTATGGTTTTATGTATTTGCACATATTACTCTCTTTAGCTAGGATGCCTCTCCACTTTCCCATCCCACCTTCTTTTCACTGATTCTATTTCATCTTTTAAGATGCATTTCAAACTTGCCATCCCTGGAGAGACTTCTATGGCTTTCCTACAATGCCTTCTTACACACAACTCTACGCATTAGTGTTGCTGAGTACAAAATTTGTCACTTACATTTAATTACCCAATGACACATATGCCCTATGAGGGTATCAGCTGTTTCTTCTGGTTTACATAGTCCCTGGTTTTACCAGTGTACCTGGCACGTGGCAGGCTCCCACTAAGCACCTGTCGAATGAATGAATGAATGAATGAGTGAATGGATAAATGAATATCTTCCTTTCCAGGGAGAGAAAAGCTTGTATGCCTTGAACATAGGTTTGTGAGTCTCCAAATACTTATTACTAGCCTAGTGCTTGGCATGTGCTCAAAAATGCTTTCTGAATTGTTCTGAAATACATTCAACTTTACTCAAATGATAATTATCTTTGGAGAAGTCTTTAGACCTTAAAACCACAATCCATACTATATATTTGTTCCAGCTTTCCTCAAAATAGATTCAGAAGTTTGGGGACCAAACAAGAAGAAAACTGCCATAGCCAGAAAACTTCTAAGGGCTTTCCTCTCATGAAACTTCTAGCAATGGCCCCCGTTTGGCCACCTGTGTGTGCATCCTGCCCCATCACATGGTACATACAAGAACAACACGGAGACGACTCCTCTCTGCCTTGGCTGATAAACATTCATCAAAGAACACAAACTTCTCAATAGAGCAGAAAACAGGAAAAAGAAATGAAAAACAAAAAGGAAGATTAGTTTGCTTCAGTCACTTTAAAAAGAAAAAATGTACATGAGGCCAAATCACTGGAGTCCTTGAAGCCAAAGATGAAATGAAGCTCCACAGCAAACCATGGTTCTGTCCCTTCGAAGCTTATGCCTTTACAGAAAGTCTGCTCTACACAGGTCAACATCTTGTGGGCAAGAGATATAGTGAGACAGCACAAATTAACTCCTTAAGCATCACTGCGACTCCACATCAGTCTTTGGGAGTACATACGTTAAGGAGCTATTAGGAAACAAAAACAGAAACAAAAAACTAAATATGACTCAACAGTCCTGATAGTTTATAATGCATATACAATGGGTTCACCTGCATCCTTTTGATTCTCTATTTGAAAGAGAAAGCACAACAAGGAGAGAAGAGAGAGAGAAACAAGAACACATATGCAGGATTAATGAGCAAGTGAACCAAAATGCCCCCCACTTATGTGCGACACATGATATTGGAAAGGAAAAGCTGCCCTTGAGTCCCCACCGCCCGGAAGTGTGGGGGCAGCAAAAAAAGGCTCCTTCACAGACGTGAAAAATGCTGCACAAATAGAAAATTAGTGAAATCAAGTTTTAATGTGAAACCAAGCTATGAAACATACATGAACTCTCCAAGTGACAATTAAGTCATATGTTCTAGCCAGAGCTTAGAGGACGAGGACAAGTTCAAATCTTCAGAAAGAACAAGGAAAAGCTTCCCCAGCTTGCGCGAGAACAGACAGGAGGCATATAAGAACTCCTTTTACATAGAAGGGACCACTTGTGCGATCTTCTACCCACAGCAGTTTGACATCTTAAACATGGAAAAGAAAGCACGGTTTTGCCCCAACTGTCCTTTTCCTGACACCTAACACACGGCTTCCCACCTAGCTGCTATCTTTTGATTGTGTACCAGTGACAAGCACTTTACAGATTGGGGTTACACACAAGCAAAGTAAAAATGCATTCAGGTCACAGACAGAGAATAACTGAAAAACTTACAGACAAAACTGAGTTTATCACAAACAAATGGCTTAATTGTCTAACCTGTGTTAGGCTGATAAAAAGTGACTGGACTTCTCACACTGGGTTTCACAGACAGAATCAACAGACAAGCCAATGCTAAAAAACTTGAAGCAAGGAGAGTGAGTTGATTTGGATCTGGATTTTCTTGAAATAATGAAAACAGAAAGAGTGAAGACAGCATGGTGAGGAGGTGGTAGGTACTCACGAATGGTTAAATCCATCACTTGGGAGGCCAAGCAGAAGACAGGATGCTCATACATTTCTCTCTTTTTCCCTATAAAAGAGGATTTGGGCATGCAAGAGGCTTAGGTCAGAGGTCAAGAGGTTAAAGGTCATAGGTTAGAGGAAAACGTTACATTAGCTCAAAGGAAAATAGCCACAGAATATTTTGGGATAAACACAGGATAAAAGAAAAAAGGAGTATCAAAATTGGAGATCTACTGGATTAACCATTCAGCATGCCGTGAGTCACGAGAGAGATTGTGACCATGATTTTACACGTCTCTTTAGAGTTATTTGCAAGAATACAATGACCGAAAACATCATGATAAAGGGAAACAGAATTTCATTGATTGAAGGCTCCAAGATACTAAGGATTTCAGACTTTAGTATCTAAGGCTCTTGAGGTATTTCTTCATAAACATAGTCTCCAGCAATATTACTATAACTTCTTTCCAACATTCTCAGGGAACTAAGCTATTAATGGTCACAGAGAAGCTCAAATGTCAAGATTTCTTTTCTGGGGGTAGGATCAGAACCTTGTAAAAGAAAGTTGACTGGTAGTAATATCTTTAAAGCTGCCATGTCTCAGCCTATGGTGGACTATGTTCATGAAAGAAAACCTGATACATGCAGCCAGAGGATGTTGGGTTGTCTGAATTAACAATCCCAGCATGCTTTGAAATTGGTGTCACAGCCACTTTTGCAGAGGTCAAGTCAAAAAGTGGCTGAGCCAATCACGGACAAGGAAGGAGAGAAGCGAAGAGAGCAGGTAGTGTGGAATGAGGTACTTCTCTGACAAGAGAGTTGGAAAAAAAAGATTGATTTCTTCAAAGAATCCCCAGACCTAAAAGTCACAGTGCAAAAGATAATTAACACAACCAAGAAGAATTGAGGCACAAAAGGAAATTACAGACCAGCTGATCTACTTTGGAAACGAATGCATTTTTACTTACAGATCTTAGAGTTTGTTTTTGGATATATTTATCTGAAAGAAGAGAGCAGATCTTACCAAAAGACTAGTCATAGCTAGACCAAGACCTACGTACGAGTCAGCGGACATGGCAACCGAACGTTTCTTGATCCCATCGCATCTCTGGCCTGGCCTAGAATTATTAGGTCCCCAGTTGACTTTAACAAATACAACCAATCATTATGTCCTGGCAAGGTAAATGCTGGAATCATTATTTGCTAATATAGCCCTTTAACAATCTACTTGTTCCTCTATTTTTGTCACTCATTACCAAGTCAAGAGTTGATAAACATCCTTTTAGTGCCCAATTCTTAAGTGTTTCTCCCTGGATGCATAACAACGAATTCATTACCACTGGTACACAATTTGCATTGTCAGACAGACAAAATTGAGAGAGGGAGGACATGGAATGTACAGAACACTGCAAATTTGACATGATCTTAACCTAATTCTCTAAGGAAACAAGAACTTTGGCAGGGTAAGTGATGGGGCTACAGTAGTTAATTAGGTCTCTCTCTCCTTTTTTTTTTTTCCAGTCATGTCCTAAAGGCAGACAATGGGTATTTGCTGAATTGACTGGGTGTTTCACAAGGGAGAGAACATCGGATTCCAGAATGCGGACACAGCGAGTTTTGCACACAGAACTTCCACATTTATACACTTACACCACGGGTCAAGTTGGGTGTGGTTTTCAAATCACCCTATAGCAGCCAACAGGGTAACAATGAAAAGTAATTAATACCTTTGCAAACAAACAGGTCCCAAAGAACCATATCTTCTCAAGTAGGGTGGACTCAAAGTGCCTTTGGACGATTACTTGGTCATTAGTGACCACATCCCTAAAACCTGAAAGGGGAGTGATAACAACCATCCTAGGTTTGGAGTAGCAAGATTGAACAAGATCTATAACAAACCAGGAGCCATCAGAGACAGTGGAACACTAACCTGCCATCAAGTTTGAAAAGCTACCAAGAGACAAGATATGTTCAAGGGGCAAGAAAGAGTTAAGCAAAATCTTGACGTTGCTTTATTCAATTCTTGTGTTACTTCCAATGCAATGAACAGTGGACAACAAACTGTTTAGCTTTCCTCTATTTAAAGAAGGTAGCCATCCTACAGAGCTCTTTCATAGAAAAACATTAGCCGCAGAGCAAAGTTAGGGCCAACACCAACTCTTGGAAGGATCTTAGTTGTCCTATGACATCCTATATTCAACATCCTTTTCTACAAAGACTGTTTCCTGAGCCTCTGTTCTTGAACTCATTTATGTGGCCACAGCCGAGGAAGCTATCACATTTCAAGTGTTTTACTTTCAGCTTAAATACAGAGGTGGGCCACTATTTTCTGGTGCCTGTCAGGAAAGAGAAAGACTTCCCCAGGGAGGCATACCAAAATTTCAGTTAAAAACTGGGGGCAGAAGGGGGTCTTACCTTCGATTTTGGCATACTCTGACAGTCGAGAATAGTTGACTAAAGCAGCTTGCTCTAGACATTTACGGATGACTGCTTTTACCTCCTCTTGTGGCACTGGGGTTACAATGTCTTTCATCAAGACCTACAGGTGGAAAAACAAGGTTCTTCAAATGGTTCAATGAAATGTGTTACCCATTCATACTTAAATAATTCAGTTTAAAATTAATTGTGAATGCCTCTTTGCAACTTAATACTGATCAAGCACCACGGTTAGAGACAAAATAAAAAATTCCAGTGCACAGCTAGGCTGTCAAAGCCTGTCCATGATTCACGGAAAGGTTAGGAGCATATCATCAATATATCTTAACTATTTGAGAGACTGGCAGTTTTCTCATATTTATTCTGATATTTGATTAACAGTAAAAAAAAAAATCTAAAAACGAGAAGCGAGGTAAAAAAATGGTAAAAAAATCTTCTAAAAACGAGGTCATTCAACCACAATATTTCATCACAATGATGTTCATGTCTCTGTGTACATGTCATCTGTCTTTTATTTTCATTCTTACCCTTTCCAAGAGTGAGAGGGTAGCTTTCAAAGCACCTTCAGGTCGACCAAATGGAAAGCAATACCTAAAACAGACAGAAAAATGTTCAGGTTGCCGAACTGATTGCATTTTAGCATGAAATATGCTATAACTTGATTCCTATGGCAACTCTCTCTGAGGAACAGAGAATGCTTTTTATTTTGTCACGTTGTGTTATGTTAATCTGAATTCACACCATATATGTGTGTATATAATGTATATATATGTGTATGTGTGAATAATGACTAAAGAGAGACTCTGCAAATGTCTGCAACAGAAAAGAATATTTCCAGTGATGACATAAGGTTCTGTTTAGATTTCTATTGTGAAGCAGAACCCTTTGTTAGCTCAATTGTGACCTTATATATAATTATTGAGACTGGCATTAAGAAATAGTTTTACTTGAAAGAAGCTAAACTTCAAACACACCTAAATCCCTAGAGGATTAAGATAGGAAATACAAGAGTGTATTTTGAGCAAATTCATGATTCTGCTAATTGTCTTGCCTTGATTGTAGTTTTTAATTGCTATTTGATCTTTTGTTACTGGCAATGTATCTTGCATAGAGTATACAACCAGTAAGGATTTATCCAGGGTTTTTTTTTTTTTTTTTTTTAAATGTGTATCACACACAGATTTTTATTTATTTTTGCTGCACCACATGGTCCGTGGGATTTTAGTTCCCCAACCAGGGGTGGAACCTGGGTCCACAGCAATGAAAGCCCATGTCTTACCCACTGTACCAGTAGGGGAGTCTCTATCCAGGAGGTTTTTTGATGACACAGATAGTTCTAGTGACTATTTCGGGCAGTCATAAGCCTTTCAAGACACTGCCTCACGGTACAAAGGGAACAGGACAGCTTATACAAAGAGGGCTTTGTTCTTTTAGTGGAAATAAAATGAACTTAAGATTTCTAAGTCTCCAGAGTATTAGCAAACTCTTGTCTTATGCTATGTTATAACTTGATTCCTATGGCAACTCTCTCTCTGAGAGTTGGCTTTTTCATTCATTATTTCACATTTTTTTTTATAGCTGGTTTTCCACATTGTACTGGTATCAGATGCACAGCAGAAGTGGTTCAGTTTCATATATATATATATTTTTTCCTCAGATTCTTTTCACTTATAGGTTATTATAAAATATTGAGTTTAGTCCTCCATGCTATATAACAAGTCCTCATTCAGATGTTTTTAAACATCCAGTGTGTCTCTGATAGGTTTATAGTTTTAGAAAATCAAGCCCTTAATAAGCCCTTAATTTGCCCCTCCCCAGGCTCATTCTCCTAAAAAGCCCTTTAACCCCAGATCCTTACCTAAAATGTGTAATCTGATTTTCCAGGAGAACTCGGAGCCTCTCCTTGATTTCTTCAAAACGTTCCTTTTCTTCAACAGTCACAGTTCCGATTCCATCAGGCCTGAAAGGAGACATGTCATGAGGTGATGGGAACCTCATATGCTGACACCATCAAATCAAATCTCTAGCAGGAGGAAACTGTCCATTTTAGAAGAACAACTACAGTGATCGATGTGACCTTAGGAGAAGTCCCGCTTCTCGGCTGGTGACTAGAGGGGATGGGGTACGCTGAGGTTATCATTTGGAGACATTTGCAGAACTGTCGCTCATTTATTGTGAAATGATAAAATGCACAAAGTGGTGGCTTGCAGGTTAAAGCAGCTTCTAGATCTGTTCTGTTTGGATCACAGCTTCTGAAATTTTGAACCGCTTGCCAACATTTGTTTTTTTAATTAGGTAAGTTTTATTATACACTTCTCTTAGAAATGTGGAACAACTGGCATTAATTGGCAAGGGGCAGAAACAGCTTCTTCCTTGGCTGTGGCAGGTCGCTCTTCTAGTCCACATTTCTATATGTTACCTGAATCTCTTGCAGGCACTTAGGTTTGAGACTCCTGAATTACGCACACAAACTCCTATGAAAACCAGGTGCCCAGTAAGTGTCTATCTTCCCCAGAGCTCAATGCCAATAAATGACTCAATTTCCATAATTACAGATGTTCAGATTAATTTAACCACTTATATAGTAACTAAAGAACAAATTACAAGACAGTGTAGAAACTATAAGACCTTTATGAAAGAAACTGAAGAAAACAGATGGAAATATCTTGTGTATATGGACTAGGAGATTTAATATTGTTAACATATCTATACTGTTTAAGTCAGCTATGTATTCTATACAATCCCTACCAAAATTCCAATGGAATTTTTTTCACAGAAATTCTAAAATCTGTAAGGAACCACAGAAGCCCCAAATAACCAAAGCAATTCTGAGAAGGCCAGAATAAAGTTGGAGGCATCATGGTTCCTGAATTCAAACTATAAAATTGCAGTAATCAAAACAGTATGGTACTGGCATAAAAACATACAGATCAATGGATCAGAGTTGAGAGCTGAGAAATAAACCCTCGCACATATGGTCAAATAATACGTGACAAGGGAGCCAAGTGTAGTCAATGTGGAAAGGACAATTTCTTCAATAAATGGTGTTGGGAAACGGGATATTCACATACAAAAGAATGAAGTTGGGCCCTTATCTTAGAACACTCACAACAAAGAACTTGAAATGGACTAAAGACCCGAAACTGTAAAAATCCTAGCAGGAAATATAGAGGAAAAGTTCCTTGATATTGGTCTTGGCAATGTTTTTTTTTTTTGAATATGACACCAAAAGCACAAACAACAAAAGCAAAACAGACAAGACAAAAAAGTGACACTTTAGCAAACTAAAAAGTTTCTCCATAGCACAATGTATAGACAATCTATACAATGAAAGAAAATATTTGCAAACCATCTATGTGATAAGGGGTTACTATTCAAAATACAGAAGGGACTCATAAAAAAACAGCAAAGACCCAAATAACTTGATTAAAAATAGGCAGAGGACACAGACATTTTTCCAAAGAAGACATATAAATAGCCAGCAGGTACATGAAAAGATGCTCAACATCATTAATCAACAAGGAAATACAAATCAAAACTATAATGAACTATCACCCCACACCTGTCAGAATAGCTGTTCTCAAAACAAAAAGACAACAAATAAATGCTGGTGAGTCTGTGGAGAAAAATGAACCCCTGAGCACTGCTGGTAGGAATGTAAACTGACACAGCCACTGTGAAAAACAGTATGGAGGTTTTTCAAAAATTGAAAATAAAACTGCCATGTGATCTAGTAATTCCACTTCTGGGTATATATCTGAAAAAAGGAAATCACTATCTTAAAGATACAACTGCACCTTGTATTAATTGCAGCATTATTTACAATAGCCAAGATAAAGAGACAACCTAAGTTGGGTATTGACAATATTATCGACACAGATGAATTGATAAAGGAAATGTGATATATACAAAGTAGAATATCATTCAGTCACAAAAAAGAAGGAAATACTGCTTTTGTGACCACATGGATGGACCTTGAGGACATTATGCTAGGTGAAATAAATGAGACAGAGTAAGATATACAGTGATATGTGTCTGATAAACATATATCACTTACATGTAGTATCAAAAGAAGCTGAACTCATAGAAAAAGAGAGTAGAATGGTGGTTTCCAGGGTGAGGGAGTGAGTGAAATGGGGAAATGCTGGTCAAAGGGTAAAGCTATAAGAAGCTATAAGAAGAGTAAGTTTTGGGGATCTAATATATCCTATGGTGATTATAATGAACAGTACTGCATTACTTACTTGAAAGTGTTAAAGTAGATTTTAAATGTTTCCAACACACACAGAGACACACAGACACACACAGTAAGTATATGAGGGGATGTAGGTGTTGATGAACCTTATTTCAGTAATCATTTTAAAATGTATACATGTATCAAATCATCACATTGTACACCTTAAACTTACATCATATATGTCAATATCTCAATAAAAGCAGAAAAAACAACAAACCACATCGGCTATCTTTTGATCTTAGTGATCTGCTGCTCATTTAATAAAAAGGAATGACCCAGCATAAATAAGTGAACTTCAGTTTAGTCCCAGTATTCTCATGTTTCTGAATCACCAATAGGTTCACACACATTTTCCTTATTTTCTCTGGCCCATTCAAGTTGAGAATACAAAGGAAGGCTGCATATTTATAGCCCAAACTTATCTGTGCCAAATTAGACGTAGGATAATCTGACCCATTCAAAGTCTTCAGCTACCCAGATCTTGCAGTGACTTGTTTTGACTACTGGCTGAGCCAGTTTGCAGATTGGTGCGTCACTATGAAACTTCTATTGGAACATTCTTCAGTTTGCAAATGCAAGTCATCTTGAGACCAAACAAATGGTCTTATTTATAGGCCTTCTCAAGGATCCAGCAGAAGTTGGGAAAATCCTGTATACTAGACCAGTCTGACTGCACAAAAGACTTGGCAAATGATATCAGTGTACCTCCTGTTAGGGGTTTATTGGTCAGCTTCCCTTCTTTTTAAGTACTAAAAATGCCTTATTTGAAAAAAGAAAAAACTTCCTCTCCCCCATTTTGTAGAAAATACCCCTAACAGTAAAATCCTACACTGTGCATTTACTGACACCCTCCTGAACTTAAGTAAATGCAAAACAGTAAATACCAGGTAGGCAGTTTGAATCTATACATGTGTCCTTACATTTAAATTTTCAGAAAAATCTCAAATGTTACTTTATGAAATTTATTAAAAAAATTTTTTTAAAACATGAAATGCCCACAAATCTGTAGTTAAACCTCAGGATGAATTCATTGGCCCCACAAAATACATGTGACACTTTCTGTAGTAACATCTCATGTGTCTGTTATAATCTAAAACTTCCTCTGGCTATGGCTTTTGGATTTTGTTTACACAAAATTCAGCTCACTAATGCACTGAATACACATTTATACAGTCATTGTGTGTGCATACCTGCAATCAATTTGGGAAAAGTTGAGCCATTTTAAGCATTTTGTTTCTTAGTGGGGAATTAAGCCAGAGAAAAATGCTATTAAATATAAGGCACAATTCAGAGAGGAGTTTATAGATCACTAGAAAAGCCTGAAAACCATTTCACAGAGGCAGCCAGAGATGTCTGTGGCCATTACTAGGAAATAAACCTCTGTGTGAAGAATATCATTCCTTCCTTACCCAACAAGCTTTCTAAGGCAATTAGGCAATTAGGAAGCAGCTCTCAGATTTGTGTTTGAGATGATAAAAACTGAACATTTAGTATGTGCCTGGTTTTCCTGTAATTCTCACTATAAATGGCATTTTAAACATAACACTTATGATGTTTTCCCCTTTTGTTTTAATGATTCACATTTATAATGATTAAACGTATCAGATGGCAGCTTCCATGTCTCCTTGGATTACTTTGTGAGCACTGTTAATCTCCCTATCCAAAAAAGGTAAACAATGAAAAATTGTTATCTTTTCTTAAATTTGCTTCTTAATCACCTATGGCAGTGTGAACACTTTCATTTTAAAATAAATGAAACAAACTAATCTGAGTCTGTAAGATGCACAGTGCAGAGTTCACCAACAAAAACAGGTGATAAAACATATCACGATTTAGACATCCAGCACACATTTATTTATAATTGCCAGAATTGCCCTGAAATGATGCTGGTAGTGGGGGATGTTATTTTACAAATCGAGGGAGAGAAATGCAGGAATAATAAAATTTGTCTAAGATCACAGATTGTCACTCTTATCAGTTAAAACGCAAAAATAACCTTGGCTGCATTGATTTCTCATAGTTTTTGAAAATTCTGTCAAACATCAATTTCTTTTCCATTGACCCCTATAATTCATCAATGTTAACTGTACAGGTTTACATGGATCTACTAACTGAAAAATCCTGTTCAATATTCTGGGGAACATGGTTCTCCCAGAAGCAATAAATACCTTCCCTAGAACAGGGGCCACACGAGCCTATCTTAGAATCACACAGAAAGCCTGTGAGACCTCAGACTGTGCGGCTACCTCAGACTGTGGGTGTGTGGGGGTACGATTGGTTGGGGGGGGGCGTACCTGAGAACTGGCCTTTCTAACAAGTTCCCTGATCCTGCTGGTTTGGAGAACCTTACTTTAAGAACCACTGCCTTAGAGAGCAAGAAAATATTTGGTGGGTGGCCGAATACATGAAAGGGTATTTTGGTTCAGGATTTCTCTTGGATTAGAGTGAATCTGGAACCAGAGATTTTCTCTAAGTACACAGTCCACTTAACGAAGCTAGCAACCCCTTCCAAAAATGGCATTTGCACTGTTTCCAAGGTGCCATTCCAAGCAGTTCTGGTTGCAAAATAAACAGAAGAACTGTACTGGTGTCGCTCAGAAGCCATGCTTTGTTTCTGCGTTCTGGAAACATTTGGGGGTGATTCTATAATTGTCATAAAACTGGCTCTGCATCCTGTTCTGCTCTCAATACTTCTAACACTTAAGGAATCAAAAAGAATGAGA